TCATTAAGGCAGCTGGATTCCCACATGGCTGGCCACAGTTGGAGTCCCAGACCTGATGCTTGAAAATCAGTTTGGGTATATGTGTATGCATGCCCAAAATCCCGAGAGGAGAACGCAGGAGGTCTGTGGTATGGCCATCCCCCCCGGGGGGGTTGATTTCTCACTCTCCCACTCTCTCTCTACTGCTCTCCTCTCCAGTCAGCACATGTGCCCTATGGCAAACACCTACCCCTCCCCCCCAAAAAAATGCCTCTGTAGCCACCAATACTGTATCACTGAAGGAGAGCTCACAGGTCAGAGAACTCACAGGTCAGAAGAGAGTTCACAGGTGAACCTGACCATCTAGCTTCAGAAGCTACCTAATGCTCAGTTAGAATCACATGTTCCATGCCCCCACAACCACCTCCTGACTGCTAACTGCCAGGCACTGACCAGAGATTTCTGTGCTGAGAAAGGAGCTTCCTTGAAAGCCCTGCCAGTGAGGCCAACAAGGAAACCCCAGAAGGGAGGGAGACCAGGCCACAGTGCAGGCTCAGAGTGACTTCCCATCTCACGTGTCCCACTACACTGGGACTCCAGGAGGCAAACCAGGTCAGTCTGTGGGCCCAGTATTCAGGTCTAGCCTCACCCAGGGGTCACACTGGCACTGCCTGGACATCAGCAGGCAAAGGCCATGGGATGGATGGGTCCTTGGCAGGAAGGTGCAAGTGGCTACAGTGTCAAAGAAGCACCTTTCCTCACCCACTATACACCTGGCACCACCCCTACCTATTCTCAACTGAGCTTCTGCAAGTAGGGGTGGGTGGGAGGGTACCCACACTGTGCCTGCCCAGACCCCAGCTCTGGCTCTGCCTCTACCTGTTCTCACTTGAGCTGCTCCAGGTGGGGAGGGCTGGGAAGGTACAAGCTGCTCCAGGGAAGGAGCAGGAGGATGCACTCACTCTGTGTGCCCGAGGCAGAAGGACTCGATGTTGTGTGGGGCCATGGCCCAGCTCACTCGGATCTTCTCGTCCCGGTCAGCGGTGAGGATAAAGCGGTCATCAGGACTCACGGCCTGCATTCCGAGGGTAAGAGGAGCCTCTCACCTGCCTGCTCCAGCACACACCAAAGACACCAGAACTTTCTGCAATAGAGGCCTCCTCATGGAGAACCCCTCTATGGGCTCCGGGCAGGGGAGCTGCAGCTCAGTGGGACCCCAGGGACCAGCCAATGCATGGATTCCTTGCCCCACCCCAGTCCCACTGCAGGGCCCTCCTCCTTCCTCTTGGGTCCTGGCTCTCTCAGCCCCACAGTAAGTCTAGAGACAGGCAGAGCCAGAACCTCAATGTCCCTCTCTAGCATTTACACACCCATGCCCAGCTCTGTGTCCCCCACCCCACCTCTACTGCACTCATCCAGGTCACCTTCGCCTCCTCTATGTGTCCCTACGTCCAGCAGACACCAAGTCCCACACTCCTCCCTCACTGCCCCTGCTTAACCCTGCATGAGTCCAATCCCAGCTTCATCTCCCACAGGCTACAGTTCTTGCCCCAAGGGGTCCCCAGGGGGGAGAGGAAGGGCTGTCAGGAGTAGTAACAGGGTGACACCCCTAAGCACACAGCACAGCCCCAGGCCAGGGAGGTCAAGCTCAGAGTTCACGGCTGCACTTGCTCCTCCTTCCTCCTTCCACATCACTCAGACCTGGGGTCACCTGACCAGGCAACTTCTGTCTGGAACCACCCAACCATGTAACTTGCTCATCTTCTTCCACCCTGCTGTCCACTTGGACTTTGTCAATTCTGTTTCTATTGCTGCCTGACTTCCCGCCCTCAGAGGCGGTCTCTGACCCAGCACAGACCCACTCTCCTCAGGGCACAAGAACCCATCCTCCCACTCCATCAGACCCTCCCACTTCCACCTTGCTAGGCCATCGACTGCAGTGGACAGGTACTCTGTGTCCCCCACATACCACATCTAACAGCATAGACAGGTGCCCGAGTTCAAGTCGGCCGCATCCGTGTGGCTCCAGCACAGGAAAGGAGTAGACATCTCCAGATTTGTCAGCAACCAAGACCTTCTCCTCGGAGGCGGTGAAGGTCAGGGCTGTGCACCTCCTCACCACAGTCCTAGAAGGCCAGAGACATGCCCAGTCAGTTTCCACGAGGAGCAGGACCCTGGAAGACCCTCCAGCCCAGCATTCCTTCAGCACATGCCAGTGCCTGGCCATGGGCCCTTCCCAGCTCCCCAAGGTGGCCTAAAATAAAGCAACGCACAGAACTGAAATGACAAATATACAACTTCACTTGTATAATGTCTTATTAAACTGATCCCAGTGGTAGGATCTAGGTGGTGGACAGGTGGGTGTTCAGGATAAAACCCTCTACTTTGCTGTTTGTCAAACAGATAAAATGATGTGATTAAACACTGGGGAAATGTTCCTTAACGCCATGCAGGTGAGAGAGACAGCTGCCGGCTTCTCGGTGCCTGTGCTCGGGTCCCTGCCAAGGACAGAGGCGCACACCACCCAGACCCACCTGCCCTGCCACCCCTCAATAACCCCACTGCTCATTCTGCCCCACTGGGCTGGGGCCGCCATACTGCTTGTGCTACCGGTCCTGAGGATGGTCAGCACTGACCCTCCCACTGCTCTGGGCCGGACCTGCCATGAGAGCCGCAAAGGCAGAACAGGCGACGCCGGGGAGGATGAACACCTCTGCACAGCACAGACCACCAGAGTGCTCTGGCTCCACTTGGCCACACCAGTGAGACGTCCGTGAACTCAATCCTCGATGCACAGTCAGAGGTTCATCAGTAAGAAACCCAGTGATGGTTCCTCCATCTCCTTAACCTGGGCCAGGTGTATGCCGTTTCCTCGTGTGATCACTTTCTACACCGAGGGTAAGAGGAGAACTCACAGGTCAGGAGATTTCTACACCATCTCTACAGAGATCTCTTCAACACAGCAGGGCTGTGCATGTTCCCTACAAAAGGCAAAGGACCTTTGCTCCTGTCTTACGCAGGCACAAGCTGTAGCACGGCTCTACACACAGAACGGCACAGATCACCTCATCGCCCTGCCCTTTCCTACAGGGTGATCTCCCAGGAGTCGAACCAGGGCGCTGGCTCACTGCAGTGGGAATGGCAGACGTCCACTTTAAACAGACAGAAGCTTGAGGAGCTCTGTCCCAACGCCAACCCCCCACACTGCTCTCAGGACACAAAGAGAACAGGGGAGGCCTTGGCTGGGTTCTGGGTCATCTGTTACAACCTAGCAGCAGCGAAGGCAACTCCTCCCCTGCCTGCAGTGCCAGTGGCGCTGTGGAAGGGAGGCCTGACTATGAAACAAAGACAAAGGAAAGGTACGGAGGCTCTGGGGAGTGTGCTGTAATTTAAAGGGCTCTGCTGCTCAGCTTGGCCCGCATGCTAATGGGCTAATTAAGCAGCTCGGCAGATACCAGCACAACATTCTGAGGGAGCAGCCTAAGACAGCCCACCGAGAGTGACAGGTTGTATTCTCTGGATCCTGGCCACCACAAGATGAAGTGCTGGCACGGGAGCCCCACACCACCACCAGCTGAGCACATAAATACCACCCGAACCAGCCCTCTGTCCCATGCCAGAGGGGGCTGTCAGTCTCTCAGGCACTATCTGTCCTGGCAGCCATTCCAGAATACAGTCAGCTGGGCAGGCACGGGAGCCTCAGCAAGTTAGGTCACAGCATGGGGCAGGATCAAAGGCAGTCACTGACGATGCCCCAAGGGACCAAGACATGGCCCCACCAACCCTCGGACTCTGTAGGGTCTCTGTTCTCAGCACCCCCTCCTAGAGTCACTGGATTCCCAGCCCAGAACCCCCCCAGAAGAGAAAACTGTCCTGAAAGTGTCCCAGGGCTGGCCTCGACCTCCCCCCTCCCCAGTGAGCCCTGGGATCCCTCACCTCTGAAAGCCACCCCACTATGATACCCACCTTAGCCCTGTCAGACACTGAGTACACCAAGTTCCTGCTCTGGCTCCAGACACTTCCTCTGCATCTCGCCACCCACCCAGCAACCATCCGTGGACAGAGCAAACCCAGGCTGGCTCCCAGGACCTGCCTGTGCCACGTGCTCCTGTCACTGTCACACAGGCACCCCAAAGTGGGGGGTGACATTTGTTCATTCACAAATGCCTGTGTCAAAACCGGAAGTATCATCTGTCACTCGGTGTCTTCATCTTTGCTTGGGAAAACCTGGCCTCTCAGTTCCACGAGCCAGGGGTCTGCTGACGGCCAGGTAACAAAGCGCCTCTGGCCCTGTGTCTTCCTAAGCACAACTGCTACCTGGGAAAGAATCGCACCCAGCTTCCATTGCGGCTGGGCCTCAAACCCTCCTACAGTAAGCCTGGGTGCAGCATCACAGTAACACAGTGACCACTGGACACAGCACAGGGCTAGTCCCAGCAGGGTCATGGCCACGTGTAGACAGATGGAGTGTGTGGGACCCCAAAACGGATCTGCCTGACAGATGTTTTTTGGATGTCCATTCTTCTAGGGAGAGAGGGCAGATCCAAGTAGGTCTATGCCCCAAAAAGTAAAAAGCACCAGGCTGGAGGGTGGTGCCCTGCCCCAGCATAACTGGATAGTCCTCAGGGCATCAACTACGTCTTACTCCACGTGGTTTTATCACATGACTCTTTCCTTTTTTGTTTTTAGAGATTTTTGTGATAGGGTATGTACACTCGAGAGACATATACACTGGAGAGACAGAGAGACAGAGAGCGCCCAGTCCCCAGGAAGATGGCCACACCACATCCCTTCTCCATTCTCCTCTTGGGATTTTGGGCATGCATGCACATGCACCCGGTTTGAGTTTTAAGCCACTGGCTATGGGACTTGAACCACGGTTGAGTACGTGGGAGTCCAGCAATGTAACCACTGCACCATCTACTAGTCCCTATCATATGATTCTATGATATGATATAATATGATATGATATCATATGATTCTTCCTTTCTGCACAAACAGTTCCCACTATCCCCGTGAAACAAACTTCACCTTCATGTCCTCCTTCCCCATCTTGACCCAAAAACATTAATTTAAAGGCTAACACATTCGTTTTTATATAATTATTTTATTTAACTTTATTATTATTACTTTAATATTTCCAGAGAAAGACACAGAGAGAGAAAAAGAGAGAGAAAGTGAGAAAGCAAGCCTCCAGGTTGGGGACTCGAACCACAGTCGGTCATGTGGAAGTTCAGCACCCTTAACCATCATTCCACCTGCCAACCCCAAAGCAAGAAAGCAAGTTGCCAGATCCAGGCCTCGAACCACGATCAGCCATGTAGGAGTCCAGCATCCTTAACCACTACGCCACCTGCTGGCCCCCTTGACCCAAAAATCTATTATTCTTACCAAAAAAAATCTTCTCCAACACCTCATTAGAGAGCATAGGATTTCACTTTACCCAACACTGAACTATTTACCACTCCAAAACTCCAAAGAAATGAAAATATTGAGAAATCTGCCCAGAGATTTTGAGGGGAAGAGTCCAGAACTACACAACCAATACCTCCTACAGGCACCAGAAAGGCCCACTGACGGGTTCATCAAGAGAACGGGATGGGACAAGACAACATCCTAATTCCTGGGGGAAAGGCAACCGGACTGCCTTTCACCACTCGAAGGCGGCAGAGATGCAGCTCTCACCCATCACCCTCTATGGAAGCCCTGGGTGACATAATCCAAAATCCTGAATGCACCAAATCACATTATTTTACTTTCCACACCACCTGATGCAAACATTTCCTACACAAAGTTACTTCAGGGGTACACTTAAAAATCAAAAGCAAACACGTGATTCAAGGGAAAAGCTGCAGGTACCAACCGCTGCTCTTTGCAAAACTACTGCTGCTCACCCTGGGGTTTTGTTGGGTCTCCACTCAGGAGTGCTGTGGCACACTACCCCGAGACACTATCACAAGGCAGCCTCCCCTCACTCGATGTCTGCACTCCAGGTGGGACTCCTACTCAGCAGCACCCCACTGTCTCATGTGATAAGCTGAGGGCCACAGAGCCACCTGAGTAGAGAGAATCCCAGCTTTCCGGTCACCAGCCCAAGCCCGATGATGCCGGGAACACAGACTGGATCCGTCTTAGAGCAAAAGAACCCCTCATGCTCTTGAATCAAGGTGCGGAAGCTCTGCTGTTGGAGCTTTCCCGAATTCAAAGTGAAAAGCCCCAACTGAGGCAAGGTGGTGCTTCACTCCACTGCCCTCTTACTGGCAGCATCGGAACGACTGTGATCACAACAGTGCCCAGTGAGGCAGAGCGAATGCCGGCAGTCCAACCTCCATCACACTGCTAGGCCTCCGCCCATGGTGCTGTGACTGACTGGGCTCGGGAGCCCCATCACACTGCTAGACCTCCGCCCATGCTGCTGTGACTGACTGGGCCCGGGAGCCTTGGTGCTGGGCACACTGCATGCTGGAGAACAGGCCTTGCGCTTGGCCTCATCTCCAGGGAGAGTGGGGGCCCTGGGCTAGCAATGCTCACACACAAACTGGTGATGTGATTGAGATGTACCTGCATCACTCTGCAAGGACTAGAGACTAGAGGTCAGCCACCCAGGCAGTACGAGATCAACCCTCAGCGAGAACTCAAGGAACTAAGGCTTGCTCACAAGAGCTCCCTTGGGCATGCTTCCACACATGAGAACCAGGACACTGTCTATGCCTCCCGGGAGAGAGACCACCTGGACATTCCACACCTGAACTCCACTGGAAATTGCCCAGTGTATCTCTGTGACTGATGGGTCGGTCTCTTTCATTGCAGAAAACAGCAGCCCTGAGCAGGGCAGATTTCAATGAGTCTGTGGGTCCTGCCCATAAACTAACCAACCTGAGGGTGGCCTTGAGGGCCCCCAAACTGGCAGATGGGTCAGAAGGGAAGGGAATATTATTAGCTCTTACTCAAGTAGAAAGGCAGGAAAGAAGGAAACAGTATTATTTTTTTTAAAGATTTATTTATTTAATTCCATTTATTATTATTTTTAATTTGACCAGAGAGAAAGAAAGGGAAAGAAAAAAAAAAGAGAGAAAGGGAAAGCGAGAAAGCAAGCCACCAGGTCCAGGACTCAATCTATGGTTGGCATGTGGGAATCCAGTGCCTTTAACCACCATACCCCCTGCCAGGCCAGGAAACAGTATCATTTTAAGAGTGATATTGGAAATACCAAAGTGTCCAACTTAAAGGGAATGATACAGTGTCTACAACAGATTGCTCCCTGGGGAAAACTGGATACAAACTAGCACATGCTCACTGCTACAGTGTAACATATGCAGAGCAGACATATACAGGGAACAGCAGGAGCAGGTAGTGTTCCTACACAAAGACATCTTTGGATGGAGAGATTAAGGGTGATTTTCTGACTCTCACTTTCTACTTTTTTTTTTTTTTTGGACTGGTTTTTTGCTATAGGGCTCATATGCTCACCAGAAAGAGAGAAAGAGAGAGACAGAAAGCGAGAAATCACCCCACAGGGGGGATGGCCACGCCACAACCCCTTCCCCTCCATTCTCTTCTAGGGATCTTGGGCACACACGCACACGCACCCAGCGTGAGTTTAAGCCATCGGGTCCAGGACTCGAACTGTGGTCAACTACATGGGAGTTCAGCAACATAGCCATTACGCTAACTGCTGGCCCCACCTTCTACTTTTTCATGCTTCCCAAAGTTCTTTAGGAATGAAACCAAGGGAGAAAAATGGGAAATTTAACATGGTAGGACAGCAGCTGGTACCCAAGGAGACCAGACAAAGCTAACAGCTCCTCCCCAATTTCCATGATCTAATGTCTCACAGTTGAAAAAGAACCTGGGTAAGATCCTACAAAGGGCTCTGTTATGTCAACACCTACTTTTTCATGCTTCCCAAAGTTCTTTAGGAATGAAACCAAGGGAGAAAAATGGGAAATTTAACATGGTAGGACAGCAGCTGGTACCCAAGGAGACCAGACAAAGCTAACAGCTCCTCCCCAATTTCCATGATCTAATGTCTCACAGTTGAAAAAGAACCTGGGTAAGATCCTACAAAGGGCTCTGTTATGTCAACACATGAATCATAAATCTGCACCAATTCTCAACCCCAGGCCTCCAAAGTTTGCCAGCTGAGCCAAGAATATAGGAAAAGTACTGAAGTCCCAGCAGTTACAAATGTATCTCACTGCACGCACCTACACTACCAAAAGGCTGTATGAAACTTATACATGGACTCATTTAAAACAGTGGGACCAGCAGATGGCATAATGCTTACACCACTAGATTCCCACATGGTCAATGGCAGTTCAAGTCCTAGACCTAGTGGCTTGAAGCTCACACTGGGTGCATGTGCATATGTGCCCAAAATCCTGAAAAGAGAATAAAAGAGAAGGGATTACAACTAAGCCATCCCCCTGGGGAGGGGGGTGATTTATTGCTTTCTGTCTCTCTCTCCAGTGAGTGCACACGCCCTACAGTAAAAATCTCTCTAAAAGTGGCAAAAAAAAAAAAAAATACACCCTAAAGTTGCCAATGTAAAAAAAGTTACTACAAAGCAGTATGAAAGAAACCACCCTTGACCAAAAAAAAAAAAAAAAAAAAAAAAGGGCCACTGGAGGCCTGGTGGTGAAGGAAGCTGGATCCCAAGGCCAACTGAGATTTGAGTACTAGACCCAGTGGCTTGAAAAACATACCAGCAAATGGCATAAGAGTTATATCGCTGGACACCCATGTAGTCAACTGCAGTTCGAGTCCTGGACCCAAGAGCTTAAAACTCATACCAAACATGTGCATGCATGTGCCCAAGATGCCACTTGGTGGTTAGGGGCACTGGACTCCCACATGGCCAACTGTGGTTTGAGTCCCCAAGACCTAGTGGCTTGCTCTCTCTCTCTCTCTCTGTCCTTCTATATTCAAATTAAAAGAAATAAATAGGTAAATAAAGTTTAATAAAATAATTCTTTTTTAAAAAATGAGAAAAAAAAAAGAAATCCAAAATGCTTTGCTGAACCCCATACAGGTATGAGCCAGATACTAAAAGAAAGTCCTGGAATGCAGGAATTCAAACATCAGAACCTTCCATTTCTGTCTGAGTATTAAGGACACTTAAACCCTGCAGCTTCAGGGGGGTGAAAATGAGGGGTTAATTCTGCTCCATGTATGTTTTTTATCAATGTCACAGAAAAATCAAAATACTAGCCCTCACCCTATTAAGGAAATTGAGTACATGTACTAAGAGGTTACTAGGAGAGAAAATCATCAATATGCCTGGCACCATACCATAGTGTTGCCCACCTCCTCTCACAAGTCCATGGTGGCCATGAGAAAAGGCAGCAGCTTGGGAAACAAATTCACAAACCTTCAGGGCTCCCTCCCTTTCATGAAGAGATGGCGAAGGCTTCAGAAGAGGGAAGTAAGGCAGAAGAACACTTGAAGGACTTCTGTTGGGTAAGGGGAAAGTAGAGCCCAGTGGTCTCTGCGACTACCTGAGTTACTGACCTCCCAGCAACATTGAGCTCCTTTCCACTCTGCAGGTACTTAATTTAAAAACCCACACAGCTAAAACTGTGGTGCAGATGCCTTAACTTACCCCAAACCCTTAACATTCTGACAATGCAAGCTAACATCCTCCGATTCTGTTAACCTGAAGGCCAGAAGAATACTGACTGCAAAGCAGGACAGCAGAGGCCAGGCCCTGACATTGGAGCCAGAGTAACCAGGCACACACAGGGCCCAGCTCTGCCTTGACAAGCTGCCTGAGCTGAGACCGGCTCCCTAACTCCATGCCACCACATGCAGGAGACAGCAATGCTCCTGCCCCCTCACACCACTGACTGGAGGATTATACAGTTAACACACACGCAACACAGAAAATGGCTGGCCCATGACCAGTGGCCCATGTTGGCTGCTAATCACTATTATCACTGCCACTATTGCTACCGGCATGCAAGTACAAGGTGTACATACAACATCTTAGTTATTCAACGTGAGCATTTCATACCTGACACTCAGACATTGCCATGGTTTTGTACGGAAAAGAATCAGACGCTTACTGTCATCAGTTAACGCAAAATAGCTGCCAGACTTGGAGAAGGTGGATGCCAGAATCATGTCACTCCCCTTATCCAAGGATTGCCTGTCCTCCCTGAAAAAGAGGAAAGTGGTTAGACCTTACCTGAAGAAATTGCATCCCTTCTCCGCATTCTCCTCAGGATTCTGGGCATGCACACACATGCACCCAGCAAGATTTTCAAATTGCCAGGTCCAAGACTTGAACTATGGTCAGCCATGTGGGAGTCCAGTGTCTTAACCACACACCACCTGCTGGCCCCAGTGGCCAGTCTTAATTCATAACATGGGCAGAGCTTCACGCAGCCAAAATATAAAGGCACAGTAAGGAAACACAGGCAAGTTCAAAACAGAAGTTCTGGGGCCAGCAGGTGATATGGTGGTTAAAGGCACTGGACTCCTACATGGTCGACTATGGTTTGAGTCCTAGACCTGGTGGCTTGCTTTCTCACTTTCCCTCTCTCTCACTCACTCTGTCCCTCTCTGGTCAAATTAAAATAAATAATTAAATAATTAAATAATTCTTTAAAATAACAGAAGTTCTAACCTTATTAAAGTAAAATCTGGGACCAGCATTTGGCCTAATGGCTATGTCGCTAGACTCCCATGTAGTCGACCACGGTTCAAGTCCTGGACCCAGTGGCTTAAACTCACACCGGGCATGTGTGCGTGCGTGCCCAAGATCCCAAGAGGAGAATGGAGGAGAAGGGATTGTGGCATGGCCATGCCCCCTGGGGGGGGGGGGTGATTTCTCACCTTCTGTCTCTCTGTTTTTCTGGCAAGCACACGCGCCCTATAGCAAAAATCTCTTAAAAAAAAGGAAAACCCAACTAACCAAATTTCTCGGCATGCAGAAGAGATCTTCAAAAATGTTCACAGAAAATATGAATTATGAAAAACCTGGAGGCCAGATGGTGGTGCAGCAGTAAAATACAACATTCTACAAGGCTGACCCACATGGAAAGGGTCCAGGTTCAAATTCAGCAACCTCCCAGAGTACTTTGGGCATGAATGTGCCCATGATCCAGGGGTGGCTGAAGCTGGGAGAAGACCACAGCACCAAGACCCTACTTAGGGGGCTAGCCATTAGAATTCCTGGCAAGTTATAGACTGAAGCAGGCAGTTCCTGTCTAACACTGTGCCACAGAAAAAATACAATAACTTTTTTTTTTTTTGAGAGGTTTTTGCTATAGGGTGAGTGTGCTCGCCAGAGAGACAGAGAGAGACAGAAAGCAAGAAATCACCTCCTGGGGGCAGGGGCTGGGTTGGTGGTGGCCACACTGCAATCTTTTCTCCTCCATTCTCCTCTTGGGATCTTGGGCACGCACGCACATGCACACAGCATGAGTTTAAGCCACCGGGTCGGAGACTCAATCTGGGGTACATTAAATGGGAGTCTAGCAAAGTAGCCATTATGCCATCTGCTGGTCCCAAATACACTAACTTTTTAAAAGCTGTATTCATTTCCAAAAATTCTGTACCAAAATAAACAAGTACTTTAATTCCATTTTTACATGCACTTTTTAAAACAAATTTCTTTTTATTTAATTTTGAGAACCAGCAGGTGGCTTGGTAGTTAAGGAACTGGACACTCCCACATGGCCGACATCGATTTGAGTCCTCAACCTACTGGCTTGTTTTCTCACTTTCCCTTTCTTTCTCGCTCGCCAAAGTGGATGAATAAACAAATTTTTTGAAAAAAAAGCTTAAAAAATTGAAAGATTTATTTTCATTCCTTATCATTCTTTTTTCCTCCATTTCTCCATCCTGTCTGAATTCTGTACACACGTGCCGGCCCAGCATATTTTTCAAGGCTCTGAGGTTGGAACAGCTGCGGGTCATGTGTAGGATCTAGCTTTCTAGGCACTTAACCACTGTAATATGGGGTCAGCCAACCATGAACTCTTTAAAGTCCTCTCATACATGCCAGAATTCAAAATGCTGGTCATACAACCAACCCTCTCATAGACAGAGACTAATCCAAGGCTAGAGGAAGAGAGCGATTCATATTACTTTTTCTTTTCTTTAAAAAAAGATTTATTTATTTGTTGTTATTATTATTTTAATTTGACTAGAGAGGCAGAGGGGGAAAGGAACAAGTGAGAAAGCAAGTGAGAAAAGTGAGAAAGCAAGCCACCAGGTCTGGGACTCAAACCGTGGTTGGCCATGTGGGAATCCAGCACCTCAACCACCACACCACCTGCCAGCCCCATGATTCATATATTTTCTTAATTTTCAATTAGCTCAAGTTAAGTCTCCACACTGCCTTCAATGCAGTTTATAAATGTATTTTTAGCTGACAAGTAATGACTATTCATACTTGTAATTTTTATGTATACATAATAGAAAGGCTCCATCAAACTAATTAACATATTTACCACCTCATCAATTTATCACTTCAATGCATTTTTTTGTTTGTCTGTTTGTTTTTTGGAGAGGTTTTTGCTATAGGGCACGTGCGCTCCCCAGAAAGACAAGAGACGGACCCAGTGGCTTAAACTCAGGCTGGGCGCGTGTGCATGCATGCTCAATGTAATTTTTTTTTTAAAACTCAACACAGATATATTCTTACAGTTCTAGCAAAAATCCAAAATCAGTCAGTGGGCTAAAATCATGATGTCAGTGTGTGGCTCATCCCTTCTGAAGACTGAGGGGAGAATTTTTTTTTTTTTTTTTTTTGCCTTTTTTACTTGGTTCGGTGTTCCTTGGTTTACGGCCTTTTCCTCCGTGTTCAAAGTGCATCAGTCCAATCAGCACCAACACAGCATTCTCCTCTCCCATAGTCTAGCCTCCCTCTCACTAGGATTCTTGTAATTACATTTAACCATATTTGCTAAGTCCCCTTCATTATATCAGGTTGTTGGAAAATCTGACATATTTTGCAATGAAAAACAGAAAAATACATCATATGAGGGGCCACCAAGTGGGATGGTGGTTAAGGTACTGGGTACTACCACATGGCCAATTATGGTTCAAGTCCTGGACCTGGTGACTTGTTTTCTTGCTCCCCTCGCCCTATGTCTCCTTCTGGTCAAATTAAAAAAAAAAATAAATGAATGGGGCCAGCATGTGGCATGATGGTTAAGGACACTGAACATGGCTGACCAGTTTGAATCCTGGAACTGGTGGCTTGCTTTCTCACTTTCTCTCTCTTTCTCTATCCTTCCTTGGTCAAATTAAAATAAATAAATAAATCAAATAAATAAAGTTCAATAAAATAATTCTAAAAAATTGCAAAACATTAATGAATAAATAAAATTAAATAATTTTTTTAAAAGGAAAAATATGTCATGACTTTTCTGATAACCCATTATAAGGTGATATTCAAAAGACCCAGGAAATAGGACCTGGATTCATGTCTTACTTTATTATTTATTTATTTATATATACTTTTTTTTTTTTTCTTTTGCTAGAGGACACATGTGCTAGCTGGGAGAAAAAAAAAAAAAAAAAAAAAAACACAGGGACCAGCAGTTGGCGTTATGTCTATGTTGCTGGACTACCTACCATGTAGTCGACTGCGGTTTGAGTCCCAGACTCAGTGGCTTAAACTCAGGCCAGGCATGTGTGCATGTGTGCCCAAGATCCTGAGAGGAGAATGAAGAAGGAATGGCGGGGTGGCCATCCCCCCGGGCAGGTGATTTCTCGTTTTCTGTCTCTCTGTCTCTGTCTTTCTGGCAAGTACACAAGATCTATAGCAAAAACTTCTCCAAGAAAGAAAAAGAAAAAAAAAGAGAAATAGAGGGAAAGCGAAAAAGCACCTCCCCTAGAAAATGGTCACACCACAATCTCTTCTCCTCTATCTCTCCTTTCAGGATTTTGGACACGTGTGCATATGCACCCAGCGTGTTTCTCTAGTCACCAGATCAGGAACTAGAACAACACAGTGAGCCATATGGGATCTAGCCACTTTAACCACCACACTACCTGTCGGCCCACTTCAATATATTTTAAACATTCACCATTATTTCAAGAAGTCAATAAGCTAATTACTGACCAAAATTAATTAAATCTATCTTAAAAGCATAACATTTTGTATGCCTAATTTGAAAGTTACTTCCACATATCTCTCCCACAGCTGGGTGACAGAGATCAGGAATTCAGCAAGATAGCAACTACTTCTTAGGCTCCCCAGTCCCCTTGTTCAGATCACAGATGAGGCCTTGAAAAGTTTCCCAATCATCTCACCCATTATTTTCCTCTGCTTTCTTCTCTGCAGTACTACAGTCATATATGAAGACACTGTCGTCATCACTAAGGAAAAAAAAGAATGGTTTTAAAAGAGGCACTTCATTAACAAAAATGCTGGCCTCCCCCCAACAAATATCTGCATACTCAGTAAATTACAGGTTCTATTCATGACAAGAAAACTAGATACACTATTCCAGGAAGTAGTTAAGGAGATTTATTTGCTTAATTCCTTTAAATTGTGGATATGCCATTCACAACAAGCATTTCAAACAAAATTAGTTCAGTTATTAATAAATTAGTCCAGAAAGAAAACTCAACAAGGATCAATACAGTATTCGGGGACCAAAAAAATCAATACAACATGGTTTTAAATAGTAATTATGGGATCAGACAGTGGCATGGTGGTCAAGGTGGCTGAATGTTACACTGCTGACTGCTTAGTTCAAGTCCTAGACCCAGCAGCTTGAGAAATACAAGGCACATGTGCATGACTGCCTAAAATCCCATAGGGATTTGCAGCATGACTGTGCCCCCGTGGGGGAGGTGATTTCTCACTTTCTTCCACACCCCCTACACTCTATCCACCAAGCACATACACCTCGTGGCAGAATTTTAAGAAAACTATGTTCTATACTGAGTTATCAGTGGCATTTTGCTCCTAAATCTAAAACCACCGTCTCTTGTTTAGAAAAGTATCTCACCTATTCAAAAAAAACCTCCCAAGACATTACCAAACACTTACCGATACAGGAATTATACACCTCCCCCATCAGACCAAGCTCTCCTGTGTTTATCCCACCCCTGGCAAATGGAAGGTACCTTGTGCATGTACAGCACTTAAATTGATTGCACCCAGTCACTTTCCACACAGGAATCTACCACAGAAAGCAAAGCCGTTTTCCAAGTCAGAAACTGCGCTACTAGATATTCTGGAAAGTCACAGACTGAAGCAAGCAGATCCTGTCTCACACACCTATGGCTCACTTTGGCATGCATCAGTCTCTAAAACAAACTAATCTGGAATACATGACTGGTTTTTGAGTAAATCTCTTGAGAGATCTGAATTTAAGGACAAACTGAGTGTCTGAAACCAAATGTATATCAGAGTATGGGCGCCAGCAGGTGGCATGGTGATTGAGGACACTGGACTCCCACATGGCCAATTGTGGTTCAAGTCCCAGACCTGACATCTTGCTTTCACACTTTCTCTCTCACTCTGTTCCTCTCTGGTCAAATTTACATAAATAAATAAATAAAGTTAAATAAAATCTTGAAAAAAGTACACCTGATAATCAAGTCATCTGTTTCAAGAATCAAAACTATAATATTAAGAATCAAAACTATAATACGTAGGAAAGGAAACTAAGAACAAATCTGACCACCACTAATTTAGACTCCTTGGTCAAGACTACTGGATCAAGGGACCAGCAGTTAGCATAATGGCTATGTCGCTGGACTCCCACGTACTCGACCGCGGTTCACGTCCCGGACCAGGTGGCTTAAAACTCACGCCGGGCACGTGTGCGTGCGTGCCCAAGGTCCCGAGAGAAGAATGGAGAAGGGATTGCGGTGTGGCCATCCCCCCTGGGGGGTGATTTCTCGCTTTCTGTCTCTCTCTGTCTGTCTGGCGAGAGCACGCGCCTGTAGCAAAAACCTCTCCAAAAAAATAAATAAATAAAACGCTGCATCAACACATCTACTAAAAACTTCTGGACGTGGTCATAGCACTGAAAATACTACGGACACTACAGAAAGCAAAAGCTAGAGCCATGGGAAGGGCCCCTGGGGAGAAGCTCGCTGTGGGTTCTAGGTGTACCCCCATCCCAGAGGAGCACTTAGAGCCGAGTCAGCGGAAGCATGCCAAGAGGACGAAACAGGCTCCTTCGCAGGGAGAAAGAGTCTAGAAGCAGCTTAAGGCTCTGAGTCCACACAAATTGGCCAAGAGTAAGCCCAAAACGGGTTTAGCCAGTGCCTCTGGGCCCAAAAGCCTGGCCAGCTTCGCCCCAGGCGACCAGGCCCACCGCTCCCAGCATAACCGGTAGGCTGGAGCACCGCAGGTCAGCCATCCAGGGCACGGAGCCCCACGCCAAGTGCTTCGGGGGCACCAGGCACGGGGTCTGAGAGAGCTGCTGGAAGCAGACGTAACACGCCGGGACGCACGGCCTGGTGAGACGGCTGGGGAGGTCGGGCTCCGGGGGGCAACCCAGGCCGGGGCAAGCCCAGAGTGGCAGGGATTAAAGGATCGCCGGGGACCGTCGCGCACCCGGGCTCCCCTCTCTAAAGCCCCTCACCTGCTCTCAGTGGAGGTGGCCAGGAATCGGCTGCCCCCCCCCACCACCAACGCCTGCCCACACAACGCCAGGCCAGCGGAACTCGCCATGGGATCACCCGCCGCGCCACCACCCACGTGCGCCCGACCAGCGCCTTTTCCGGTCGGCGCCGGAAAGCGACGTCACGCGTAGACGCCACAAGGTGACGTAAGCCCTGATCGCCCGGCAAAGGCGGCCGTGAGCATGCGCAGAAGGCGACGCTCGCTAGTTAGCTTCGACTTGGTACTTTTTTGTGGCGCAGGTTCTGTTGTTGGTGAGGGTAGCCCGCGGCGTGTGCTGCTTGTAAGACTCGAATGGTGCCTGAGCTTCATCTGTTCTCCCAGACTGCGTAGGCCTGATTCTGGATCTGTTCTGGCGGAAACTGCTATATACTTGGTGCCTAGTAAATACTACTTCAAGAAATGAGTATGTTTGAGTTAACTTCAAGGTCCAGAATGTGCTCATGGCCAGGGTCGCCGGAAGTGAGCCCAATGAACCTGCACTTAAAGTGTAGGAGCTCACCTAACTCAAAATCTGTAAGCCCGGGACTGGCAGGTGGTGTGGTGAGGGCGCTGGACTCCCACATGGCCGACCATGGCCAGACCTGCAGCTTGCTTTCTTACTTTACCCTTCTTACCCTTCTTGCTCGCTCTCTGTCTCTCTCTGGTCAAATTAAAAAATAACAAATAAAGGGGTCAGCAGGTTGGCATGGTAGTTAAGGCGCCGAACCTTCCCACATGGCCAACTGCGTTTCAGATCCGGACCTGGTGGCTTGCTTTCTCACTTTCTCTGTCTCTGTGTCTCTCTCTGGCCTAATTAGTGAATAAATAAATAATTCTCCTTAAAAAAGAATAAATAAATAAATAAGGGGCTGGCAAGTGGCGTGGTAGTTAAGGGCGCTGGACTCCCACATGGCTGACCACGGTTCGAGTCCCGAGCCTGGTAGCTTACTTTCTCACGTTCTCCCTCTCTGTCCTTCTCTGGTTAAATTAAAATAAATAAATAAAGTTAAATAAAATAATTCTTTTAAAAATTTTTTAAAATAAAATTAAATAATTATTCTTAAAAAATCTGTAAGCTAGAAAAGGCCTTTTCTTTCTTTCTTTTTTATTCACCAGAGAAGACCAGAAAGAGAGAAAGCACTCCCAATGTGATCATACGCAGTTCCTTACCCATCTCTCCATTCTGTTGGGATTCGGGGCACACCTTGCACACACTCCCAAGCTGTGAGGGCGAGATTTGAACTTCAGTTGGACATGTGGGATCAAGCTCCCTTAACCACTGGATTGTGGACAGCCCTGGAAGTGATATTGATATTTTCAACCTAAATTGTAGTGATTTTCCAGGGTTTCTTCCAAGATCCCCAAATGTCTTATCTGATCCCAACAATAGGCTCAAATTCCAGGGACTTGTGATCTGTACTAGGTGGGATATGACTTCTCCAATGCAGCGCCTCTTCAACCAGAATCTGCAAAGTGAAAAGATGAATTGTCCACTCCACACACCCAGCATAGGATGATGGAACAGGGAAAGACAACCATAATAAATACTTCCATGTAGAAAAGGGCAGGACAGGAGCAACAGAACGGCCACTGTGACACAAAGTAGTTCTGAAATCCATTGGGAAGACGTTTTCAGGTCCTGGAGAAGCTGGAAGTATTCCTTGGCTAGGTCCGAGTTTTGCCCTCGGGGAGTGTCTCCCTAAGCCATATTTCAATAGCATACTTGACTCTGTCCGCTAGGTGTCCCGCCTTTGCCAGCACCTTCTTGACCACTTTGAAGAATGCATCCTTTGGGGACCAGCAGTTAGCGTAATGGCTGTCGCTGGACTCCCACGTAGTCGATCACGGTTTGTGTCCTGGCTTAAAACTCATGCCGGGCACGTGTGCGTGTGTGCCCAAGATCCCGAGAGGAGAATGGAGGAGAAGGGATTGCGGCGTGGCCATCCCCCCGGGTGGGGGGGGGGGGGAT